TATAATTGGTCAGCTTCTTTTATGGGTCACTTACTGGGAGTTATAAATATAGAAAAAAACTTCAATTATATAATAATAATAATATATATTATACATAATATATAATACATCTTCTTTTTATGATTCCATTGAAAGGATCAGTTGATGATCATCTTGTTCATTTAAGTATCATTCTGTAGGTGGTCAATCTTCTCTCATTTTGAAAGTTCTGTCATGTATGATTTATTAGTAGGTCAACTTTGTAGGGTTCTCTAAGGCTAAAAACTTAAACAAAATCTTTAAACATCTTCCTCTCATAAAATTAAATGTCTGAATAATTATCAGTAAATTGTGTAGTGTATTTTATTTAAAGCTTAATTGGTAGAAATACCTAAAACAACTTATTTGTTTTCAACTATTTTGTCAATCATTTAGAATCTTTTAATGATCTCTATTGTCTCATGTTAAAGACATAGCTTGTTTTCATGCCTGGTTCCATGCAACTTTCACACATTTAATAAGTTTTTGATATGCTAATATTGAATATTGGTATAACATTATACACTTTCTGATAAGTTTCTTGTGCAATGAACCAAGTGATCAAGGAGAATTTACATTTGGCACCGTATTGACTTTTAATTCCCTGGTCATACTTCTACATGTTCTATAATTCTATATAAGTGAGTTTGTAATGTCCCTCTAGGTATTGATGAATGGTATAAAGATTAGACTTGTTGTCACACTTAACCATGCCAAGAAAAGAGGTTGTTTTAGTTATGGTTTTCTTGAACTTAAGATGGGTGTACATTAATATTTTATTTTGTAATTATTTTATGTTCTTAAGAATGTAATACACTTTGGCTTGTATGTAGCCTCTCAGATATTTAATAAGCATTGATATTGTAAAACATATCTTGAATGACTGGCACATTTCAAGCATTTTAATAGAGTCCCCACACTTCAAAGTGTAGTCTTATTCCCAATGGCCACAAAACATGGGTCTTTCATTTACATAATAAAAATGTGATTTAATGGTGTGTGATATAAATGCACATGTCACATCACATGATTACAGGAAGTTGCATTAAGCAAGTATCATGCATTTTTTGTCCCTGTTCCTTACCTTGAATATTTAACTTCATTCGAAAAAACAAAACAATTTGGCAGGAAAAGTCATAGGATTGTTACATCTGCTCAGGAACACGATTGTGTTCTTTATAGAACTCCTAACTTGCAATTTTGTCGATTTGGCACATACACACTATAGTCGTGTCCAGATTTCTTCATTGACCATGATCATGTTATATGGTTTATATGTTTCAATGTTGGGGGCCATATCACCTTTAGATCATAAATATGGAATCTTTAATATCAAAAGCCAAAAGATGCCACCTTTGCAGTTACGTTTTAAGACACTATGGTTGTAAAAGGATATACTTGTACTTTGAAATTTTCATGGGTTTGAATGGGTCTAAATAATTACGTCTTTCCTGTTCTTTCAATTGTAAATTGCACATGAAACAAAACAAGATTGCTGTTGAAGTTTCTCAAACAAAATGAAGACATTATTAGAACTGCTGTGCTGGAATATTGACAACTGAGTGCAGCAGGGAATTTCTGCCCAATATTGATTATTATCCTCATTTTGTTGATTTCCCCTGTTTGTTTATTAATGCAAAAAAGTGGACAATAAACTAGAATTCGAACATTTGAATAATATCAAGGGAGCCGAGTAGTGAAAATGATAATTTGTTGATCGGAATAATTTCTTAATGTCATGTTGAAAATGATATTAAAGATCATAATGTTGAAATGATGAATTTCAAAATTGGTTTAGTATCTACCAGCTTAAATAACCAACTTTGTAAAACCTTTTGAAATTCTAGTCAAACATTAAATGTGCTGTTTTACCTGATTTTGATATGACATGATATATAGTTTCAACATCTTGATAAAGAAAGCTATTTAATATCTATTCCCCTCATTTTAATTGCCACTTTTATATAAGTATATAAATACATCTGGGGGAGCTGATGTTCTCACCCTGGTGTAATCATTATGTACTTTAACATCATTGTCATACTTTTGTAAAGTTTGTAACTGTACTTTTTCTCAGTAGGTAACAAATGCAAAATATAATTCAGGTATTATTGAATGACCAGAGTATCTTTTTGGAAACTGTCAGCAACAAATGGCAAAAACAAATGAGCCGCGTCACGACAAAACCAACATAATGGGTTTGCGACCAGCATGGAGTCCATGCTGTTGTTATCAGTTAAGCGAACATCATGGATCCTGATCAGACTGCGCGGATGCGCAGGCTGGTCTGGATCCATGCTGGTCGCAAACGCACTTTGTTGGTTTTGCCATGACGCGGCTCAAATGATTTCTGAATAAAATTGAAAGCATTTCTAAGCTACAATTTGTCTTTATAAGCGAAGCAAGAGACACTTTGCAGCCCCTAAACAATGCACTCTTGCTTGTATAATACAGCTTTTGTTGTTTTCATGAAAAAAACTCAGGATTTTCTTGTAAATTTCAAGAGATGATAGTACAATCATATTACATAGTACCCTTAAGGCCTCAACAGACGGTAGGATTTTGAAGTACAACACCAATTAAAACTAAAGGCCTCAACAGACGGTAGGATTTAGCTGTACAGCACTAATTAGAGATAAGATGTACAATTTTCAAAGCTATACAACACTTGCATTCAGACGGTAATTCTACACTGTAAGAATCATCTGAGGTTTCCCCTAAAAAGGATCCCTTTACATTGATCCTTTACATACTATACTCACTAAATACTTTTTTCGCCATGAGTAATGATTGAAAAACCTCCATTTAAAAAAAAAATATATATATTTTTTTTTTTAATGTGAAGCCTGACCGAGACTCAAACCTAGGACCCTCGGAATACCGTACTGCGGCTCTGCTGTCTAAGCTATCTGGTCGCCTACAAACTACCTCCCCTCCCCTAATTAGAGAACAATTCAATACCGTGACATAATCATTTTCGGAATAATTTGGGATTCGAACATAACACAACTTTGGGTCTCCTGAAGAGTTTTTCAACATCATTTTTACCCCATCTTACTACTATGTTTACCTTTTAGCCCTAATTGTTCTGGAATTTCATTCATTACACCCATTATCAGGAGATAATTTGGTTATCTGTTACTTGTCATTGTGGGAGGTCTATAAAAATCTGTACGACAAGATTTTCAAAATAGAACATGTCCTATCCCTTACATCTTGACATAAGGTTTCCGAAATCAAGAAATAATACCCTTCACACATTAAGATTTGTCTGTACATCTTAGTTTTAATTGGTGTTGTACTTCAAAATCCTACCGTCTGTAACATGAGGCCTTAAGATGTACAGACAAATCTTAGTGTGTGAAGGGTACTATTTCTTGATTTTGGAAACCTTGTGTCAAGATGTAAGGGATAGGACATGTTCTATTTTGAAAATCTTGTCGTACCGATTTTTATAGACCTCCCACAAAGTATTTAGTGAGTAAAGTATGTAAAGGATCAATGTAAAGGGATCCTTTTTAGGGGAACCTCAGATGATTCTTACAGTGTAGAATTACCGTCTGAATGCAAGTGTTGTATAGCTTTGAAAATTGTACATCTTATCTCTAATTAGTGCTGTACAGCTAAATCCTACCGTCTGTTGAGGCCTTTACATAATAAACAGAGGCCTGTAAAGGCCTCTTCCCAATTGAAATTTTCTTTAAAATTAGGCAGTTTTCCCAAAAATCTGAACTTAACAAGCTTTTTCACTTCTCAGATTATTAATTTTAAAACATATTTTTTTCCAAAATTGAGAGGCTAAGGTCTCTTCCCAATTAAGTGAGAAAAAATCACTGATTCCAGTGACTAATAATCATATACATGTTGACATGAGCATGATGTTACAATCAAGATATATTCCTTCATTAAGATAAAACTTGTCTTTATCTACTTGTAATAAGAAGTGAAGGTAATCTGTTAGACATTTGTATTGTTTTTCGGAATTTGTTCAGCAAGTTTTTTCACTGTTAGTGTTTGATTAGTGGCATCTTACCTTGATAAAGTATACTTACAAAGGAAAAGTTTTCAACAGCTATTGGTCTGCATTAAAATTGTCTTTATGTCATTTACTGAGAGCCGTCTTCACTTGAGATCAATTGCTAAGGCACCTTCATTGTTGCCATTAGCTTATATAGGATATGGTTCTTACACCTGACGTTGTCTACTTAATATGCCAGATATATAATTAGTAATAAAGATTTTTGACAGGTTATATGGCCCTATATAAACAGTTGTTTGACAATACAGCTGGAGCCACAGAGTGAGGGTTATATTGCAAACAAGCATTTATATACAGCCATATAACCTGTCAACAATCTTTATAACAAATTTTAATAGAACAAGCATTATTTTTCAGAGAAAAAAGTAAGATTTTTTCATAAATTGACAGCAGCCATTTATATAAAACTATATCAAAGTCAAAGTCACAATTATCCAATGAAAAGTGACGTATTATAAAAAAAACGGAGTGATACCAATGATACCTTTGGAAAAATAATCTAAACTGATATTTTCATTAATAAAAATTGCTGTTGAAAAAGAGCTAAATTATACAGGAAACTGTGTCTTGTGGTAAAGTCTCTAGACAAGAAAGAGAAGTATTGTACATTGTAGTTCCATTTCTATGACATACAGTATATTTTGGCAACAGTAACAGATGATTAATTGATGGAAAACCTACCTCATAAAATACACAACAGTTTTGTACTGTATAATGACAGAATTTGCTGGCTCAAATTTGTGTTACATTTTGTATGATAAAGCATCAGTGTATTATATAATAATTTGTAGATTCACAATAATTATTAAATACTGAATCTCACACATCGTCAATGGAAATTCATTCTTTTAGAAATCTTTCTTTGATTGTTCATTTACAAGTTGTTATTTATAGAGTTATAAACTGCTTAAAATTCCTGCAAAAAAAAGCGTTTGAGACCAGCATGGATCCAAACCAGTTTGCGCATCCGTGCAGATTGATCAGGATCCATGCTGTTCTCTATCAGGTTCTCTATGTAAGTGTTGTGTTAATTATTTCAGCTGCTGCAGCGCGTCTAAAACTGTTGTTGAGTTTTGCTGTGGGTGGACTACTCGGTGATGTCTTCCTTCATCTATTACCGGAAGCCTGGGCACATATACATGCTGGTAAGATAGATTACATTTAACAAGTTATGAATTAACATCTAAATCAACTGTTTGGTAATGTATAAACTGTTACTGACAAATTTTGAGTTTTAGATTTTTATAGTTTAAGATTTTTCAATAATTAACAGCAGGCTTCATGTCAAATAATAAAAATAATTGTGAAATCTTAATTTATAGTACCAGGTGGTATACTGTATTTCAACTTTGTAACAGTAACTTACTTTTCTTGTACATCAACTGGCATTCTCATTCTGACTTAAATATGTAGTTGACATCATTTAAAGTATTTTGCACAATTATATGAAATAGTTAAATTCATTAAGTGGGCAAATGAGAGCTATTTAATTATTTAAAAGCTTCAATTTTTTGTATGTGTAAATCAATGCTTGTGTAAGAGTAGCTTGATATATGTTTATATTAGGATATTATAGTAGTATATAATATTATTAAACATGTTATATAATTATATTATTTAAATACCGCCTCCGTGGTCGAGGGGTTAGAGTCGATGACTTCTAATCCAGTTACCTCTCTGGCGTGGGTTCGATCCCCGGGAGATGCTTTGGTAGTTTAGCGCGGAGGAAGGTAGTCTAGTACTGGTGCAACTCTCCAGGAACGATGGTTAGGAAACTACCCGCCTATATGACTGAAATACTGTTGAAAAAGGCGTAAAATGAAACAAACAAACAAACAAACAATGTTATTTAATTATGTATATATTACAGTTGGTGGTGGTCATGATGAACATACAAAACTTGGATTGTGGGTAATCACTGGCATGATGTCGTTCCTTATCATAGAAAAAATGTTTGCTAAAGAAGATGAATTTGAACATGTAAGTCAACTAATCTTTGTTATATCCCTGAACAGATTACAATCAAATGATATTGGGGCATCCATGGTGGTGTGGTTAAGGTCGTTTACTTCAAACCACTTGCCCCTCATCACTGTGGGTTCGAATCCTGACAGTGAATTTGGATTATTTCATATCAGGAGGCTATCCAGAAAGATTACAGAACGTTGGTTGTTCTACTCAGGTGCCTGTTTTTCCCTGAAATAATGCAGGGACTAAGGGCACCTGAGGTCTTCCTGTACCAGTAAAGCTGGAACCTCGCCATATGGCCTATACTTAGTGCATTTACAGTGTTAGTGCATTTACTTATTTACAAAGTGCATGAAAGATCTGGTTTACATGTAAACTGAACATGTTATGCTTGATATTTAATCATAAGAGCTTTCTGCACGATTTGTAGCACCTACAGTACTGGACACGCGAAACCCGCACAATTCGCGTATTCGGGGCGAACCCTTATGCTTTATAAAGCGAGCGATTTTGCGGCAACTTGAAACAATTCCCGCGAATTCAACTCGCGTTGATTTTGCCGTGAACAGTTGCCGTGATTCGCCGGGAATAATACATGTTACTTTGTATAATAAATACATGTTGTACTCTATGAACTTGAAACCATTTGTATTTAAATGATATACATGTACATGATGATGTATGAAAATTAATTAGTAGATCTACATGAAGTTGTATCAAGAAAATCTTGTTAATCTTGTATTTTTTTGTAAGTAAATTATTTTATTGTCGATCAACTTGCATCTTGCTACTCATCACCTACTCATCTTATGCACCTGACATTTTTTACTGGTGAAATTGAAAGTAAATAAAGTCTCAATTTAAGTGATAAAACATTTACAATTTTCAACAATTATAATTAGCGTATTAGACGTAATAATTAGTTACACCTGTGAACCTGTGAATCGGTAATAAGTGTCGCACTGTATTGTTCTAAAAATAGAATATGTGCGAAAGTAAACAACGGATTTTAATTACATTTGTATTATTATCAAAGTAACAATTGGACAATTTGTTATCATGCGTTCTTTGATGTAGTTCCAATTACATTTTGTAATTTTAATCTCGTTTTGTTGTTAACTAATTTTCATCCAGCAGCTGATTGCTTTGTTCTCGAATACAAAATGAATACGCTGTACACTGAACATGTTCAATTGCTAAATATTAATAAATATACATGACATTTATAAGATTTTTTTCAAAGTTTTTACTATATGCCCTCGGGCGGGACCAAGTAGTACTTTCTAATACAAATATTGCTGTAGATTCGCCGTAAATTACGGCGATACATCACGGCGAATTTTCGTGAACTGCCATGAAATTTGGCGAACTTGCACGCGGCAATGTTTTACCGCGTAATGTCCCGTCGCGCCATAGACTACACTCGCGGCATAACGCGACTTTTGCGGGTTTCGCCTGTCCAGTACTGTAATTTCATTATATATAATTATATTGCTTCAGTTTGGACAATATAAATTCAGTCTATATAAAACTTTGCTTCTGATATTTTCAGCTGCAAGATGAGTGTTCTGAAGCAGAAGAGGAAAAACAACATGAAGCTGAGTACCAGTGTCAGCCATTACAGAAAGACTTGACTGGTTCCATAAATACTCATTCAGATTGCATTGCCAACAGAACCAGACAGAGAACCCAACAGAATCAGACTGGTTATTGTAATAGTGATAAAAACGATAAAGAAGATATGCAAAATCATGTAAATAAGTCTGGTGCAAAAAATAACCACAGAGGAAAGGTTGAAAACAAAATTGATAATCAAAATGGTCAAAATAATATATTAAAAAACAATATAAGTAAATCAAATGGTGCTGTACTTGCCAAAAAAGATGATACTCAGACATCCAGTATAAAGGTAAGCTTATATAAACATTTTTAAGTATAGCTGGTGGTAAATTATTGAAGTGTTTTATTCAAATATCAAATACGATAATCAATGGTAGTTAAGTATTTATCTTAACAACTTGTACAAACAATATACCAGTAAATGCTCATTACAATTTATGCAAACACATATGTTTATATATTGGTTCAGTTGGCCATTTAAAGTTTCCTAAACAAATATGTAAATTTATCCTACTGTTACGTTTAACTTGAACCCAGCTAAAATGCTTTGTACATTTTTTGTCAAGACTTATGTCATGACTTCTTTGTTCAATGTTAATTTCATATTTTATAACATCGATGTGTACAACACAATAAGTAGCGAGTTTAAAAAAAAAACCACATCTGCTAGGTCTTTGTCTTGGTCGTAAGGTCATTGTTGTAAGGTCATTGTCATAAGGTCATGGTCATAAGGTCATTGTCATAAGTTCATTGCCATAAGGTCATTGTTGTAAGGGCATTGTCATAAGGTCATGGTCATAAGTTCATTGCCATAAGGTCATGGTTGTAAGGTCATTGTCATAAGGTCATAGCTGTAAGGTCATAAGGACATGGTCAGGTGTTGATGTCAAAGAAAGGGATGACTATATTTTCCAGTTTTGGCACCAAGTCACTTATCAAGAAAACATAATATTTATGTATTGTCATGAATTTTTTTCCATTTAATATATAGACAGATATTTCTAAAAATTGATTGTGTGTAATATAACCATAAATGTATCAGTGTCACTTCAACATCATCAGAAAAAATATGTGCAAGTATATATTTCCAATGTTACATTTAGGTGATTAAAGGGCATGAATGTAGTACTAAAGGAAAATGAACTTTCATAGTTTTATCTTTATTGTCAACTCTCTAGTATTTGCATTATAGTTTTGTAACACATGTACTTAATAATGAGAATAGATAATAAATATGAAATATTGAGCTGTATTACATAAATACTTCACATTGATATTCTATAAAGGGCAATCAAGTCAGTGAACTTTATCTTCATATATACATATATCTATATATTAAATAGTGATATGTAATCACTTATAAGAATTTGGAGATAAAATGTTGTCAATTAGAGAAAATTTTAATCTTTAATGACCTACATACAAGTGCTCCCAGGTCAAATGTGAAAAAAGAAGAAACAATCATTGAAAGAGTATAAACTGTAAATTTTGATTACAACTGAAAAACACAACAATTAGTTGTTTGTTTAGAGATAGTTTGTACAATCTGGCCTGTTGTTTTGTGTAAGTTTATCACGTAATGACAGTCCACTTCTTGATGTACGTTTTGTAGCAAGTTTATTGTGATCTTGGAGTCTTTAATCTTTATGTTGGCTTCTGACTTCTAAAATGTCATTGTCACAGGGTGAGAAAAATAAGCAGCCTGACCGAAACTCGAACCCAGGACCCTCAGAATACCATTTCATGGCTTTACCTACAATGTACTAAGCTATTGGGCCGCTAACAAATGTTCTTTCCTAAATATGAACAGTTCTGAACCATGACAACATGTTTAATCGTTCTTTACCTGAATAATGTGGCTTCCATGTAAGAGACTACAGACTCTGACTTCCAAATATCAAATGAGCAGCGTCACGACAAAACCAACATAATGGGTTTGCGACCAGCATGGATCCAGACCAGCCTGCGCATCCGCACAGTCTGATCAGGATCCATGCTGTTCGCTTAACAAGTCTATTACAAGTAGAGAAACTGATAGCGAACAGCATGGATCCTGATCAGACTGCGCGGATGCGCAGGCTGGTCTGGATCCATGCTGGTCGCAAACCCATTATGTTGGTTTTGTTGTGACACGGCTCAAATTACACATTCTCAAACAACATTGAAATATCAAGTTTTAACAGTCTTAAAAAGTGCCTAAAATTGAGTCCCTGTCTTAAAGAGTGCTTAAAAATGTAAATAAGTGCTTATTTGATTACTCTTGAAAAGTCCTTAAATTTGCTGAAAATGTGCTGAAAATGGGAATTCATCAAAAAAAGGAAAATAAACTATCCATCTTAGGTTGAAGATTATGTCGGTATATGTGCAACAAATGTGCTTGAAAAATGGGAAAACGTGCTTAAATAGTGCTGAAAAAGTCCTTGAATTTTGGCATTGGATGTCTGTACGAACCCTGGACTGTATGTCACCAGTATAGAGCTTGACAAGCTAGCATTCTATATAGAGTCTAACCAGACTCTATATTGTTGATTGCTTTAGAAATTTAAGTATGGTTTGAAAATAATTTGAAATGGGCAAGTTCATAATGTACAAATGTAGCTGAGATTAAAGGATTAAATTTCTGAAGATGTATGTACATGTATGTTGTGCAGACATGTGATTAGCATAATGGCATCTAATTTTCTTATTTGATAGGTATTGTTTTCTTTCTCTGGATAAATTTAATTAACACTTTTTCATACATGTTAAACTGCACTGTGTGAATAGATCGCGAGAAGGTTCTTGTCACTGTAATCAAAATTTAATTTTATTGCCTTTAAATGTGAGAAGTTCGAATAATTAAAATTTATGGGGATTTTATATGAAGATTAATTTGAGCACATGGTAACAATTTAGTGGAAAATAGCAATGTGTTCTCTTCAAAATATCATATCCTCTCCAACTGAACTACTTTTTGCACAACAGAGCCAGTATTTTACTTTATTATAATATAATTTTAGCATTTGATTTGTGTTGTGTTCAGCAATCACTTTATTATATGTATTATACTGCAGACTAGATAATTCGAGATGATTTGCGATGATTTAAATGTTGTGTCTTATTTTCAGGTCAGTGGATATCTAAATTTAGCAGCAAATGTGATAGATAATTTTACACATGGCCTAGCAGTGGCTGGAGGTTTCCTTGTGAACAGCAAGGTAAGCAGAGTAGTCCCCCTTGATAAATATAAATGTGTTGTTTTTTTCTTGATTATTTATTGCTTTCATGTTCAAAACCTTGTGTTCAAAAGGCATTAAGTTTATGGATGAAATAGGTATTTCCATACATGTAAGAATTACTTAATATTTTATACCATATCTGGGACAATTAAATCTGGATAAGATATGATATTGAGTAACGGTGAAGAATAGAAGTTACTTTTTTGTCGATGATTTTTGAAATGTAACAGCAATGTTAATAAATAAGTGCTCATAACAATAATTAGCTAAACTTTGAATAATCCACATCCACACATAAAAAGCTATGATGTTGATAAAAATCACATTACAGGAGCAAATTTTGTTTACATGTATGTACACAACAAAAAATACCTGCAGGCTAAAATGGTTCATTAAGCAGATCAATGATTTTACTGTACCAGGATATATCTTCATCAAACTGTGACTTACTGATCAAAAATAAAGATATAGGCAGTAAATTGTGATACATATAATGTACAAGAAATAATAAAACAATAATACAATGTAAAAACATGAAAAATTAAGACCAAAGTAGTATGATTTTATGTTATTTCTTTAGTTTTTTACCTCATTTTTACTGATGTACTCATTAAAAAGATATTAAACATAATCAACAATCAACTATTTTATGTGTCTACTTTTTAATGAGGATGTAGATTTTGCCTTGTCCAATTTATTATAAGCATGTTTGTTTATTAACTGTCAAAACAATAAAATGATAGACATTTCCAGTATAACATATCTTTATGAGATGAGATAAATAATCTAACTTGCCTTAATTATGTATAACTAACCATGTTTCCTGATTGTTCTGATGTGTGTTTAAAGAAAGTTTTTTTTTAAAGAATTAAATCCATATTTTTTATTCAAAAATGTCTGTTATTGGTAAAATTGGTTGTTAAAGCTCAGGCTTGCTGTTCTTATTTGATAGATCTAAAATGCACAGATGTATTGTATTTTATTGGAGAACTAATTTTAGTTCTCAATTTGAATCAACATTGTATTATTAGAATGTTTTTAAGAAAAAAAAACAAATAGAAACATTATTTGTTTCTTATGAATGAATGAAGTTATGTAAGTAATTTATGTTGTATCATTTTAGGTTGGCTGTGTGACATTATTAGCAATATTATTACACGAGGTGCCACATGAAGTCGGGGATTTTGCCATATTACTACGGTCAGGGTTTGACCGATGGAAAGCTGCTAAAGCTCAGGTAAATCCACAATAACAACATACATATGTTATTGGACCAACAAATCAATGTCCAAAAACAAATTGTTCAGGTTTTATTTTTTTTGTCATATTTTTTCAAGGTGATCCACAGCTCCTCCCTTTGTTTTAGTATTTAACATTGGTTACATAGAATCAGTTTATATTGGGGTATGAGTCTCTTTTTAGTGGTTGAATAATGTTTTAAGATGATTTTAAGTTCATTATTTTCAGATATTATTTTTTATTTTTAAGAAGTTTTAAAGATTTTCTAACTGATGTAATGAAGAGTACTGTGATTGAACCCTGCCAAAAGGAACGTCAACATATTGAAATAAGCAGACTAGGTCATGATGATAATAATAAATTCTCCCATAATTCATATCAAACATGCAAAAAAGTATTTCTACCTAAACTATTTAAAGTATTTTCCCCAAATTTGAATTTTAAAATGATGTTAACTTATTGGAAACGGGCAGATCTATTTATCATTCCCTTGTCATCCTTGAATATTTGAGAATATTTGAGGATATAAGATTGCTATGTTTTTACATGGGCATGTTAGATGTAAGTTTGTATATAAGTTTAAATGTACTAAGATATTGCTTCTAGGTAGGATAGGTAGTTTTTAAACTTAACATGTGAAATTTTAACATACACTGATTTATGTCAGATTTATGTAAGATTTGGTCATTATTATCTACCACTATCTTGACATGTACACACACCTGGCCATCACTCTATATTTTTAAAGTTTAATACTCTATTTCCCTATATTTATATTACACTTATTCTATTATTAACATACAAAGTTATATGATAAATTAATGAACCATTTATTGCCAATTTAAAACTATTCTTAAATACAAAATCAGCTGTTTAAAAAAAATTTACCTAGAAACTGAGTATTTTTCCTGCTGTAAGATAATCAAGATGGTATATGAGATAACTGAGAGGGCAATAACTGAAGTCAAATCAAAGTGTATGGAACTTGAATCATTGCAGCGCTAATAAGATATTTGATTTTATATTAATTGTACCTAGTGTATGTTTTAAATATACAGATACATGTAAACATACTAATGTTCATTGTCAGATTTATTCAACTGTATACTAGTCTTGTATATTCAGACTATGGTATAGTACTAGAATGAATATATATTTTGGGCTCATTCCATAATACAATACTTCTATTTGATTAGACTGTTGCAAAAGTGAACCATGGGAACAATACAGAAAGATAGCCATAAATAGATATATAATAGCTGTTCAACTATGATATAAATGTTCTTATTTTATAAAATGCTGTAAATTATTCAATAGCTTTTTATTCCTTACCACACTGTATTTCCCAAATGGACTTGTCCCTGTTTCATTCTGGACAGAACCATTCATCATTATTAGGGAAAATTTAAAATAATTACTGACTGATTAGTGAAAAGTGCAGACCATAATAAAACAGCACAGATGTACCAGTTGATCTTGCTCTACACTGATTGCATAGGTAGAACTATTGCCACAAGCAGGTCAAGGGTTGATTGATTAAGACCGTCATTTATATCATATTTATATAAAAGAAAGAATAAGATCATAATTATAATATATTGATTGAACTATATAACAGATATGTACAGCTGCTAGTGGTGTGATTGGTGCATTAACAGCCCTTACAGCAGACTCCGCCTGGGATGCTGGTAATCTATTTATTTATTTGTTGTCAAGTTTACTTTACAACATGACATTGTGCTGAGTTGGCCAGATAATGAAATAAGTAAAGATATTGTATTTTATGTACAACATTACCATTGATCATGTACAACTAGGGGAGACTGGGGCACTCTGGGACAAAAATCATAATTTTCAATCTCCAACTTAACATATCTTAAGGATTGATGCTTTCTTTCGTGGATGAAAAGGACAATATGTACTGGATGTAGCAGATAACTTACTGAACCTAAAAAAATTAAGTTGACTTGGAGATATACATTAGAATACGGTCATTAAAATGTCCCAGAGTACCCCGAGCTAGGGGTACTCTGGGACACCATATATGGTACAGTGGGACATGCTTGGGTACGTACGACAACATGTATAATTTCATTGAAACAAAATTATTACTGGAATTGAAAATCTGCGGTTGTTTCAAAAATCTAGATGTTCCAGTGCACGTAAAATGTGGAATTCTGCTTAAGCCGGTGGGGGCAGGGGAGGGGCGGTTAATTGCACTTTCCATTACTGTTTATGAACAGGCTTGAAATCAAACTGAGCCTGCAACATTTTCAATTTTGCTGTTTTGGGCTTTCTGCAAGAATTCTATTGAAATTTCTCTATTTTTATTTTAATTTTGATAGGTGCGTAAAGTCACACTTGTTTTGTCCAAGCATGAATCATTGCCATATTAATGAATGACAAAGTTAGGAAAATATAATCTAAATTCATTCATTTGACTTTCATTGTCATTTAAAGGTCAAGAACAAATCTAAATTATTCCATATGTTTCTTTGATCACAAGTGTTGTTTTGTCCAAATATGAATCAAATTCTTCCATAATGACAAAATATGACAATCAAAATTCAATAATATGGCCATGACGGTCGAGGTCATTCAAAGGTCAAGGTCAGTTTATCCTGTCCAAAATTTTGTTTTGCCAAAACATTAAGATAATTCATTTATTAATTACCAAGTTACAATCAATTATGGCAAAATCAGTGAAAGTGCAATAATCTAACGGTCAAGGTCATAAAAGATCAAAGGTCAATTTGAGTTTGATACACATGAAAGTCTAATCCAAAAGAGTGTTGTCCCAGAGTACCCCGACCACCCCCACCATTTTTATGTGACAATAATTTAAAAAGACAACCAAACCAAGATTTATTTCAAATCATAAAATAAAGGCAATGTTTAGCACATTATCATTTACTAATATGATACAAATAAGTATTCAATGTAGAAGAATTTGAAAGCTATATAGGAATTTTCTAGAATTTCACTTTGGAAGGTAAAAAGTGCATTGTACTCTCCAGACTGATTTTTACTCAATTTGCTGCTATGAAACTTTTGAAGGGAAAAAAGCTTGACAATATCAATCATCTGCATAAATCAGGTTTAAATCAAAGAACAAAAGCTATCAAAAATCCCATTGTCCCGCAGTGCCCCATGTCCCAGAGTACCCCAGTCTCCCCTAAATGTCAACAAAAAAAAACAACATGTATTGCTTTATGATTAATGAATGTCATATAGTGCACTTTATTTGCATACTCAATTTTTTGCTTAATTTATAACCTGTATTAAACAATATTTATTATGTTATAAGTACTTAAATAATAACTATCTACAGGGGAAAAAAATTGGCTGTTATTTCAATGTCATATAAACTCGTGTGACAAAATATCAGAAAGTGAAGAAAGACCGACTGTTTCACTTACTGGTATTGATATTTTTATGGTCGTTATTGAGAGAGTTTGGGTCATCTGATATTACTGTCCTTTGAAAAGGTGCAATAATAACTGTCCTTTAAAAAGGTGCAATAATACATAAAATATTTGTAACCTCAACTTCTGATTGGGTACAGGGATAAGCTGTTTCTACCTTCTCAGCACTGCTATGTGAATGTCATGTAAGCAATAAAAAGTAGTTTAGGGCCATGTGATAAAGAGTGGTCCCTGCATGGGCAAATTACTGGTATCGAAGCCATTTCCTCACTATTAGCTGCGATTACAAATGATAGATATATTAACTGGTGCTTGCTGGCACTGAATGCTACATTAATTTACTACCTTCATGCATATGATTGATACATTGATGATATTCAGCTGGAAAATTTGAGTGTCAATCATTTGTGGTTACTTGAATGATGTTAATGGTATCATTAGTCGCCGGTAGAAACCGGCGACTATATTTGTAATAGTTTAATATTATACCTATGGTAGGAGAAGCCCTTAAAATCTGAAAATAAAAGCATATCAATCATTGAACAATTAAAGACAACAATTATTTTTTAGTAATCACAAAAAATCAAACATATGATAACTTTGCTCAGTGGAATGAAATATGCACATATTGACGTCTTAAAAATCAACATTACAATTTTCATAAAATGAATCAATAACGTATCCCCAAGGATCAGTCATTGAATATTAGAGATACGTTTACTTTTTTCTGTGTGTCAAGCATTGCTATTTTATAATATATAAATCATGAATGATATTTGAAATGACACTTCAGAATTATTTGGTTGTTTATTTTTTATGAGACCTTTTATATTACATTATTTTATCTAATTATAAACAAATGCTCCCTGGTCTTTCGTAAGAATCACGTGACTACATGTTTATATATGTTGTATATCGTTATAAAATCTATAAATAGTTACAGATTGCTGATAAGACAGGTAACTTGTTAATGGTGGTAACTGATAAGATGTAAATCATTGTAATTTTGTACAGATAATTTCATAAGTTATTTTTCATTAATCAGGCTCATACTTTATATCATTGGAGAAACCTGTTTACATTAAAAATACATTTTCAAAACCTTTTCCTTTCTTCTTGGTAAAGGGTTTAACTTGGCCCTTTCTGTCAAACATTCGACAAGAAAGTTCAATTGTTTAGTTTATGTTGAACATCCCAAAATAATGTTATGCTTAAGAGGCACATTATTGAAATATATAATGGTAATCGTTGATTTCGGTATATTCCGTCGGTTTCCGTCACGCAGGTTTCCAAAACGGTATGACGTCAGGGGTCCGGAATCGTATTAGATACATAGAAAAAAATAATAAACTATCTTTGTGTTGATAGTTTATCGCATTGAAAGACACTTAAACGTTAATTTTATAATTTGTATGTAACGATTGGAATACGTGTATTGATTTCAACTAAATTATATATTTTTTCTATAGCACATAATCATGATGTACAACACTTTTACAGTAAAATTGTATTGTTTCATGTAATAATTAAACATATATATTTTCATAGTCACTTTGCAATTATTCGATGATCGGTAATTATTTGTCGTAAATTATCTGAATCTGAACTTGTAACCTATACGGATTTCAATGTATGGTACAACGGTATATGTATAAAGTATAATTACAATATGAATTACCAGCATAGCACCTGCCTTACAAGCCTCAGTGGCAAACATTACTCAACTCATTGTTCCTCTTATTTTTATACCTGAACCATTAAACTTATATTTTCTTATATTTATGATAATACAATCATTTTTCTAACCGGCGACTTGATGCTTTAGCATCAAAATCTCTACTTGTACTCCTTTTGTGCTATGAATTCTCCTTTAATTGAATGTTTAGATATTCAGTGCAAGGGAAGTAACTAGTGTAACATTATATAAATAACACATGGGTTTGTGGGTAACAGTAAAAATATCATCCCGAGGAAAATACTGTTAGCCGAGGCGTAGCCGAGGGTAACAGTATTTATACGAGGGATGATATTTTTACTGTTACCCACAAACCCGTGTGTTATTTATTTTATTACCCCGAACAAATACTGTGATGATCTGAATTTCTCAACTAAATCTAACTGTAACAAAAATAAGCCAAGAGAAGCAATAACTAAACTGTCCTTACCTTGCAAGTTTTAAGTGCACTGTAGGCCTACTTGAGAAGATGTTTTTCTTTTATTCCTTAGGCAAGTGATGATATCTACCAGTCATAAACATAAAATAAGCTGTGTTTTGTTCAGAAAACAAAACACTTACCCATTTATAAGGTCATGATCTGTGAAATCTGATCCTTCTGCATCCAGAATATTCTTCGCATAGTTTTTGACAAAGTGCATTTAGATAATAACGATGATATCCTACAGATGTCTGTCCACCAACTCTACTGTATCTGTAACGTTTCACTGGTTAAAATTGTTAAATTATCCTTTGTTGCATGCTTTAATTGTCTGCATGTTCCAGTTTCACACAAAATTATTTACATTACAATTACTTCCGTTGAAAACGGATGTTTCCTGTTGACTATTCAACAAAAAGATATTTAATACGCGAAAGGGACTCTAGGTTGCAAAGAACTAAATTTTATCAGAGTAATAGTTACTTCGGCGATGCCCTATCGTCGAAAATAAGAATGAATCGAGAAAGAAATGGCGGCCATTTTAATTCATTTTATTTAGAAAATAGACCACGTGACCAGATTTTATACTGTTACCTATCACAGGTGCTAGTGGCATTGATTTGACCTAAAATGTGTTTGACCTTGTTATTTATACAATAAAATATCAATATATTAAAAAAAAAAAAAAAAAAAAAAAAATTTTTTTCACTGTTATATTATTATAGACAAGGTATGCAACATTCAGGTACGAAAATTATGGGTACGCCGGTTATCTGTGTTAAAATTTTTCACCGGGCGGTAATATCGTCGGATTTTTGCATGGAATCAATGCACAATATATTTTTCTATTACAATTTACTATTTACAGATCCCCAATTAACCACTAGTTAATGTTTTAAAGCCCGAAAGTAAGAAATCACTCAGGTCCGAAAGATGAGACCGTCATGACATGTACATTGTAACGAATGTCAGACGTTTCACTCCCAAGACGTTTCACTATTGAGACGTTTCACTCCCAAGACGGTTCACACCTAGACGTTTCACTCCCATTTTGTCAATTGTATGGACGTTTCACTCCCAATTTTTAAGAGATGTTTACTAGGAAAGTTAACAAATTTTAATTTCATTAAAAACAAACAGTGTAAAAAGGAAATTCAATTTAATATTTCATTTTGTTGATTTCAATGGTATTGTTAATACAAATTATTAGAAGATTACTCATTTAAAAAACTAATTACTGAAATATCACTTTTATTATAAGTGTAACAACATGAGAAAATTCTATTTATTAAAAAAAAATCGAATCGAATAACATGGAAAGAACAATAAAGACATATTATAAGTATCAATATAAATATTGAAATCAACACCAGTAAAGTATCTAATATTATTCAAACAATAAAAAATATCAATATATTTAATATATTATATAATGTTATGATTATTTTCATTATAATGAATATAATGATTATTTTTTGTAAGTCTTAAACAATGAAATGCGAAACATGTGTATAACATAAATTATTTTTTTTAAATTATTTTCTTCAACAATTTATTAAACAGTAGCCATTAAACAAACTTAAGTAATTGTGGTGTTATCTCATCGCCTAATTAGTTGTATAAACACTGAGACAAACAGTTTGACACCACTATTAAATCAGTTGTATAAACACTGCACTTAAAGCATCAACAGTTTACTAATCAGTTGTTTATTGGGCCATTTAAATATTTTTTGACAACTTTTTTTGAAATTTTGTCACAAAAAACGATTATACATGACAGATATTGAAAAAGTCCCAATGCTTCTAATTTAATTGAAGATATTTCTGATTTCAATGGCCATTAAAATTTTTGACATGTATCGCAAAAGCACTATACTAGCATTAAATAATTTAACAATTTTTTATCCCATGTTTAAAAATAACAACAAAAAACATGTTACTCAAAGCTAATTGTTGTCACAAGATTGTTATGCTTTAAATTAAATTTGCCTATTGAGTCCATGTTTACAAAAGATCAAATAGTTAGTTATATTAAAGTGTTATTTCAATCAAAAGTATTTTTTCTTTAAGTGAAATAATGTAATAATTGCACATATAGATCAAAGAATAGGAAACACCTTATTTCAAAACAACAATAAAGAAGATAAGATAACTGAAATGATAGAACTTAAAGTACCAAGTTTTAAGTCATTGACAAAAAAGTGAAATCCCCCTTTTTATTTATTTTTATTAAATTTAAGGTCTATTTCAGTTCAATTCAATATTTTAGGTCTATTTAAGTATATCACAAGTATCAAAATAATTTTGGTATAAAAAGGTAGTGAAACGTCTTCAAGACGTTTCACTCCCATTTGGCAGTGAAACGTCTTGGTGTGAACCGTCTTGGTGTGAACCGTCTCAATAGTGAAACGTCTGTCTACCCCGTACCCATTGTAACCTGCTATTTACGCTTGAAATACATCAACAATGAGATCAAACGGGTCGAACACACATGCAAACAACTGGATTTTACATACTTTTAAATGGTTTTATCCTCCACGAGTCGAACTTAGTCCTATGAGCCTGTATTTAAAGAAATATCCTACATGTAGACGATATTTTTAGAAGGTAATTCCTACCGGAAGTATTCTCCGGCTTCCGTTTTACATACATTGACAAAGAGCGGAACAGGGAACCAAGCACGTGTTGTGGGAGAACACTTTCGATTTAGGAATTACCTTATACATGTAGAATTTTTCTTAAAATACGGGCACATAGGACTTAGTGCCACTCCTGGAGGATATAACTATTTAAAAGTATGTAAAATCCAGTTGTTTGCATGTGAGTTCGACCCGTTTGATCTCTTTGTTGATATATTTCAAGCGTAAATACCAGCTTACAATGTACATGTCATGACGGTCTCATCTTTCGGACCTGGGTGATTTCTTACTTTCGGGCTTTAAAACATTAATTAGCGGTTAATTGGGGATCTGTATATAGTAAATTGTAATAGAAAAATATATTGTGCATTGATTCCATGCAAAAATCCGACAGGGCGGACCGTCACTCGAGACGAGGCGGACCGTGATTTAAAAAAAATATTTATATGTGGATTAATGTAACAAAAGTATTAAATTATTGATGTTTTTGTTCTTTGTATTAATATTTCAATGAAAATATAAAAGTAAAAATATAAAAGAAGTTTTAAAAGTTCATGTGTAATAGATTATTAATTTGCTGAATGGACACTGTCACTCGAGACGCGGCGGACCGTGATTTTAAAAAGTATTTAAAGTATTTAATTATGGATGATTTTGGTTTTCTTTATAATATTTCAATCTAAACCCTTCTATGTAACATAACATATATTTTAGAGTAGTTTAATACTTTTTTTCAAGAAATTATTTGTAACTGCGTCGACTTACGCAGGTGATAATTAACCAATTATCGGGATATTACAATGTCATTGTTTGCATAAGACGCTAACAATAAATAACAATGATAACGAATTACATCACATTAAAATTATTTGCAATACATCACAATAACACAAAATGAAGTGACATATTTAAAGAACAAAATTATTTTATTAAAATTTACATAATAAGCACAGACACATGAAATAAAAAGTACACTGAAATAGAATTTATTAAACAATAAGACACATCAAAGACTTACAGTTTGTATTACAATACACACAGTGATGACGAATGACGAGTTTATATACACATTTTACATCACTAGAAGAGACACATTATTTAGTAATAATTTACAATACCAATACAAGATAAAATGACATGACATGATATAAGATACAGATATACGGAAACGAAATGATGAACATGTAACAATTCAAATATATTCACGTACATTGAACATTCATATACAATGTATATATATATATTTATATATACACACACAGCACTTCTTTCCTTATAAAGGACCGTAAAGTCTGGCACTACTGTCTAGAAATTTCTTTGTTGAAAGAGTCTTATTGGAATATTCTTTCCATAGCTTCGTATGGTTCTTGTGGACTTTGTCGAATTCTTCTAAGTTTGAATTCTTTCACTAGTTTGTAGATCATAGGTATGTCACAGGCTTTCTGGAACAATAAAGTTAATTATCATACTTTTTATATTACTACTGTAATCTAGTTTATATGATAAGTGTTTCGTGTTTTGTCTTAATTACATCGTCCATTCAGCACATGAACTTGTAAAACTTATTTTATATTTTTACTTTTATTTATATATTTGCATTGAAATATTATACGAAGAACAAAAACATCAATGATTTAATACTTTTATTACATTAATCCACATATAAATACTTTTTTTAAATCACGGTCCGCCTCGTCTCGAGTGACGGTCCGCCCTGTCCCAAAATATGGTCCGCCTAGTCTCGAGTCACGGTCCGCCCTGGTACGGTCCGCCCTGTCTCACGGTCCGCCCTGTCCGTAATTCGGAAATTAGCATTACGAAAAAAGTGAGGGGTAATAAAAATTAATCATCTACTTTAACATGTTTAATTGTAAATCTTGCGCATAAAATGTTTGTAAGATTTGCTGTTACAATTTATACAGTGTTCAGTATTTGTTTGAGGAATAGATGTTTAATCAATAACATTAAGCATCAGTAAAAAAAACCTAGAAAAAATAAACATATTTATTAAGCAATGGTTATGTTATTAATTTATGTTTACAATTTTTGTTCTGTGTGGATCACAGGAATTAAAGTTTCTTTTTTTTTATTTACCATATAAACATTGTTATATAATTACCTTGTTTTACGGTTATACAGGTGAAAGTACTGTATGGATACTACCTTTTACATCAGGAGGTTTTATATATATAGCCCTGGTCACTGTTGTACCTGATCTACTCGAGGAAATCCATCCAAAGTAAGTACACATCTATAGCTGAGTGGTTAAGGTAGTTGACTTCAAACCACTTGCCCCTCAACACTGTGGGTTTGAATCCCGATAGGGACTTTAGATTTTTTCATGTCAGGAAGCTATCCAGATAGCTTACGGAATGTTGATGGTTCTAGTTTGGTGCCTGTTTGTGCATGAAATAATGCATGGAAGGGCACCTGAGGTCTTCCTCCACCAGTTAAGTTTGGAAGTTGCAATATGACCAATATTGTGTTGGTATAAGGTAAAACCCAACCAAAAAAAAATAAAAAATAAAGAACAAGTCAGCTAATTATGTTATTAAAATGGTATTTAGCTGTTATAGGTGTCAGTCATTTTGTTAAAAAACAAACATGTTCTTTTCTGTGTATTCATAAGTTTCTAAAAGTACCTGGTGTTTAAGAGCTTAATAATTATAACAAATTTGTGCTTTAGATATAACAGAACAAAACAATGTTAATGTTTTTATAACAGATGTTCTATAATATATTTCAGGGAGTCAAGCAAGCAGATATTGAGTTTGCTAGCTGGTATAGGGTCCATGTATCTAGTATCGTGTGTACATTAATGCAGAGATCGTTGGTATGTTCAGTGGACAAGAGAAGTGAAAATATAATATAGTTAAGATTACACTTGATGTGGCATGGTGTATCTAAATCAAGCATAGGTTGTAAGAACAAGTTTTGCAGGCGTTTTACATGGAATCTTTCATGATGACATTTTACTTGATATGTCATGGATATTTTTTTCCTCTAAAGTAACCCTCTGTTACAGAAGATAAGTTAATACAGAAATACTAGTTGTTCAATTCCAGGACAGGAAAATGGTGTTGGTTTTAATTAAGATGACACACACATAATCATTGATTGTGTAAGGATGTAGAAGTGGTCATAGTAATCTTGTAGAGACTTTATAAATAATTGAGCTACGCCATGACATAACCAACATAGTGTGTCTGATCAGGATCCATGCTGTTTGCTATCAGTTTCTCTACTTGCAATAGGGTTTGTAAGCGAACAGCATGGATCCTGATCAGACTGCGCGGACGTGCAGGCTGGTCTGGATCCATGCTGGTCGCAAACGCACTAGGTTGGTTTTGTCATGGCGTGGCTCAATAACTATCATATCACACAGAATGCAGAATCTCTGTGGAATGAATGAGTTATATCACTGCAACATTATAACATGCTAAAATTATCTTATCATTCTTATATTATCAGGTGCCCAGTTAGATTGACCATTTTTAAACATATTTTTTATCATAATGACAGAACTTAATTTCTTGTTTTTGTGAAATTTTAGGAACTAAATCTTTTAATCAAGATTAGAACATAATAAAGTTTTTACTTTATATGTTATATTGATATGAATTTATATTTTTGTATGTAGAAATCTTAATTATGAAAGTATTTTTTTTTAGTAATTGCCAAATAATTTGTCTGAAGTTTTTGAAGGTAAAGCTATGTGACACATATTGACCTTTTTTAAAAGAACTTTACTGGTGCTATTAAAAAATATAAATGTATATTATTTAAAGGCCTAAATGTTACAGCTTAAATTGTAAATGCATCTTGAATTACTTAAGCCAATTAACTGACAGATTTTGCCAATTGACTGACAGTACATTGTATTTCATTTTACACAAATGTTTCTTTGTTGTAAAGTGTTCCGATTTTTTTCTTCTTAAAGGCACATAATGCATCAGAAACAAATAGATTTTTACTTCTCTAGAAAAGGCAAACATGAATTTGATAATGTTCAAATAATGGTTTTAGAGAATGATGCTTGGTTTTAGATCCTTGATAAATGTTAAATAATTTGTTAAAAAAGTAGCAAAATGTAATCAAAGTAGTATTTTGACTAACATATAAAATATTAATTCACTATAACTGTACCTATTACCAAAACACAACAGAAAGAAAAAGATGGGTAAGGTAATTGTCTAATTGACAATGAGTAACTTTTTGGATACTGTAAAAGTATACCAAAATTAAAAAGCTTTTGAGAAATACAAATAAAGGCGTTTTTGAGGCATAATGGGCCTTTAAGTATTTTGAAATCCTTTTAAAAACATAAACATAAATGATTGCATTAAAAACATATCAGGCATAAACACAAAAATTGCATTTTTTTGCATTAGTGAATGTATTAGTATTGATGACATTGTTCTGATGAGATCTCTTGCAGTAAAATATACTTAAATAGAAATCCATCGTTGTGATAATTTTATATCCATTAATTATGTTGAGTCTTTGATATCACTATTTATTACATTGATTGTATTTAACATTTTTTATAATCCAATGTTAACATAAATGTTCTTTTTTTAGTGTTGAATCCACTTTTTTTAACAAATTATCAATTTTATAACGAAATACATGTACTGCAATTTTATGTAGGAACCCATTTTTTTATGAAATATTGATATTAATGTAAAATCTGTTTCTAACATAATACTGCAATTTTATGTAGGATCCATTTCTAACGTTATATTGATTTTAATGTAGAATCCATTTCTAATATGATGTTGCCTTTTTTAAACACAATAATGATTAGTGACGAATAATTCATTTTTAGGACAATATACTTGTTATATATAGATTCCATGACATTGATTTGTAATGTACAATATTTTAATCAGTCAGTCATATCATAGATAGTTTTAATTTTAATGTAGAAACCATTTCTTGTGGAATATTAAATAGAAAGTTATTATCTATTGACAGGATATTCAATGTTTATTTGAAATTGTTATTTTTGCTGCCTGCAAATGAAGTCATTTCTTCATGCACTTATATCTGTTGAGTATTATTTTATTATTAACACTCAGCTAGATAATTTAAATGGATTTGTCCTTTCAATGTAGACAATATCATTTATATTTTTTTTTGAAATTTTGAAAGTAAGTACTGAGAGAATAGCAAACAGTGCCAGACCAGACCAGACCAGACAACATGGATATTTATAATGTTGATTACTGGCCAGGATACTCATAGATAATCAAAATATTTTATTATTGTTATGTTCTGGTGTACATAGGGTATCCTGGTGAAGGTCTTGAAAGACCGAAACCGGTAGATCCTAGAATAAACCAGTTATAAACCATCCTGATGTTTGATGTGTATTCTCTTCTTCCTTTGATTTACTGATGTACATTTGTAAGGAAAACGTATTCTTTATATATGTCAATGATTATAATGTTAATTGGCTCTTTTATCATTTGATAAAATATGGTATTTATTTTAAGATGTTATTGAAATAAATGTTTTAAGTCAGTTATATGAATAGTCAGGTATGTGAAATGTTCCTGTTTAACACCACTTCTGATTTTTGAAGTATTAATTCAGTACAAATCAAATGTCTGTAATCTGAGTTGTTAACTTCAACACATCAAATATAACCAATGAAAACAGCTTATATAGTACATGTAGTATTTCAGTTATATGACAATTTTAAGTGAGTCTAGATTTTTTTGACATTCATTTCAGTTATAATGTATAATTAATGATCTAGTACTAGTATTTGTTATGTAATTTTGGACAATTTTAAACTTTATTTTTTTTTTATTATACAGCGTTTCTTTTGATTATTCATAAATTTGATGAGAAAAAAAATGTACAAGACACGTGAATTTCATTTGTTGTCCCATGATTTTTTTTTCAGGTATGTTTATAGATTTTAATAAATGGAGTAAAAATAACAGTTGTATTCATTGCCTGGTATATTCTGCATTATTTCATGTTTGAATATTAAAGCAAACTTGCATGTTATGATAGAAAAATTTATAAATATAGGGATTTTTGTAGTGCTGCCACTTCGAGGAAATGTTTAGATCTCACTATAGATTTTAGGATATAAAATTAATAACAACACATGAACATAAGTAAATTGTTTGTACTTATCAACATTTAGGCTCACCCCGCCTTCATCAGGATATTTTTTATAGAAAGAATATAAATCATTTTCAGTAAACTAGTAAAGTGTGCAATATGTTATGATGAAGATAGAATATGATATATGTGAGTGTTGTATATACATGATATAGAGTTACAAGATGTATGTCAAGTTCTGCTGATAAGCTTTGCCATATTTTGAAATTCACCTAGTCATGATCTTATACATTATCATCTTGAATTTACTCTATACTTTTTATCATAATTCAATATGGAAAACACGTAAAATGATGAGTAGAAATAGTAAAACAATTAATTAACTTCAACTGAATATTAGGCCTTAAGAAGAACTACCAAGTATTTGTCATCAGTAAAATTTAAAGTTTTGTAATAAATCTGTCCCAAAATTATCTACCACCAACAACCTGTCTCTCCACTCCAAACAATGGTGATTGAAAGAGGTACATAGTAAATTCAGAATGGTTTTGTTAAAGTCAAGATGATTCAAGATGTTTGTTTTGAATGTTCTTGTTTTTTCTTAAATGTACTATAATGTATATAATTTCAGCTTGTTTTCTATAATGTGTAATAATTATGTAAGGGTTGTAAATTTAACCATGACACATAGTGTTTTGTTTTATCATTGTTAATTTTATCATTAATTTTAGATGGTCTTTCTCGGTGTTAAGATATAACTATTGCAAAATGGAGTTGAAGTATTTCAAGAGTATATGGTTCGAGGTTATAAAGACATTCTCCAAGCTCAAACTCAGATTCGAGGCATCTGATTGGTCAGAAACTGTCACAGAATGTACACTGACCAATGAAAATCCTGAAATCTAAGGCATGTCCTAGTAAAATGTTTTATAACCTTGTGGCCAGTTTTCCTTGTCATGTTTTTTATTAGAACAAGGTGTATTGTGTCATAATTAAACATGTTAGTTTACTTAATGTGATTCTTTAAGGTTAATAGCATATCATGACTAGCTATTTTTATATGAAATTTCAATTGATCACATATAATTATCATTTAAATCTTAACTGTTTTTATCAAAATCTGAATGTTTTAGTTAAGTTTAATCATCATTATTTTTTGTGATATACTTGTAAATCTTATAATGTGTGTTTCATGTTTCATTTTTGGTGATGTGAATACAAAGTATTTTATTTTTGTAAGTTAACATCCTTCATTGTTGTGAGATATTTATATTGTTATCTTTTATAACTATACCAGATTTTTTTTATAAACAATGAAGGCCTAAAAGTTTTATCAAGTTTTTTTTTAATAAAACATAATTGGCAATATGATGTCTAATTATTGGTTCTTTGGTGAAGATAAATAAATTTTGTATTTTGTTACAGGTTGGATTGTAAATATTTGTATTATATTCCTGATTTCATGTATTTTTTTCATTGTTCTAATACTCATAAATCATTTGATTAATTCATGGTGCTAATTGGTTACTAAACATGTACATGGACGTATTTCATTGTGTGTCATTTTGCTTTATAAGGTAAGTCTCATAAAATATTTATTATTCATAAGTTTTCTAATAACTTTACTTATATGACTGGATAACTTCTAGATGTGACCATCAGCCTTCATATTGTCATAGCTTGCAGAAAGTTAAGGTTAAACTACATACACCTTGTGTGGAACTAATGATTTGAGCCGCGTCATGACAAAACCAACATAATGGGTTTGCGACCAGCATGGATCCAGACCAGCCTGCGCATCCGCGCAGTCTGATCAGGATCCATGCTGTTCGCTATCAGTTTCTCTATTTGTTAGAGAGTTTGTAAGCGAACAACATGGATCCTGATCAGACTGCGCGGATGCGCAGGCTGGTCTGGATCCATGCTGGTCGCAAACGCACTGTTGGTTTTGTCATGACACGGCTCATTTTGTAAATTAGTAATGGTATGTAGAAAGTTTGCAAACCACATCTTGTGAAATTTGAGTATCATATCTTAAACCATATTGACGAAAATACTTTTGACGAAGTGTTTCATTAGAAATGTCTTTTTGTGTATGGAATATGAAAACTGCCACAAATGTTGTTAATAAGAAAATTTTTTGATGGTTCTTAACGATAGAAGTGAGTCATAAAGCCAATATGTGACTAATATATCTATAAATTGAATTATACATTATTTAAACATGCAATTCTAGAACTGTGGTCTTTATAATTGTTCTAAAGAATGTTAAAACGGTAATGAATTTAGTGCTAATTTTTTTTTTAAAGAGTATTAAATCTTTGATGTCAAGTTGTGGAATTTAGATGTGGTTTGTCAGTACTTTGTTTGTTGATTATTCTGTCCTATTCTTTATGCTCTGTTATCTTTTTTTTTACAAATTTGTTCCAATCAATTAGATTTTGCCAAAACTGAAGAGAAAATTAATTAGAAAGCTGTGTAAAGTAGATGCTAGTTTGTTTTATTTGATGATTAGTGGTAAAAAAACTATGAAGCAATTTTTTATATTCTATTTGTTTTTGTTAAAAGTTGAATTAGTTTATGCAGAGGTTACTGAGTGTCTGATTCTACAACCAGATTTTTTATTTCAAATAATCTGAAAAATGCAATGCATAATTTATAATGAAAATATTGTCAGGTACTGTGTCCCTTACAAATTGTTCTATTCTGGCCAGTAGATATATTTATTTATTTGTTCTGTGAACATAAGTATAATTACTGACAAAAATTGTATCATATAAATGGCCATATTTTACATACTTTGCATATTTTGCAGATAGTGTAGTTATGTAAGAAAATGTTATATTTTTATCTTGAGAAATCCAAATTTACATGATTGTTTGTACATAATCTTTGTTAAAAATATTAATGCTATAGGTTGTTGTTAACCCTTACCACTTCAAATATCTTAAATGGACTTGTCGATCTTTCAATCTGGACACATACATTCATCATCTTAATGGATGATTTCATATGTACTGACCGATTAGCGAACAGTGCAGACCATGATCAGATAGGACAGATGTGTCAGCTGTTGATTGTGGTCTGCACTGCTGGTATAGATAGAGCATGTTGCCCCCCCCCCCCAGCAGAATGAAGGTTAAAGGCACTGTTAGGGTCTCTTACAGGACCACTTTGTAGATTATATCTCATATTGAAAATTTAAATCATTTAAAGTAATGAAGTTATCTATCTAGCTTACTGAAGGTTGCATTGTGATTTTGAGTTTGCCTATACTATCTTCTTTTACTGTCTTCTTTGGGATTTTGTGGTGTAACCATAATGATGCTAAAGATTATGATTGTTATTAAATTTTTTATGCAGTTGCCATTTCTGTTGAACACAGGAAAAATGATATACTTTGTTGAAACATAATACTATGACTTATTAAAAAGTGGCTCAATTTCACACATACAGTACTAGATTATCTCGCTTTAGTACTTAGTTCTAGGTTCAAGATCAAGGTCACTGTTACTAAAAATAGAAAAATGGTTTCATGAAGATTGGCAATGATTGATTGTAAATATCATTGGTAGACAGCTGAAGCATCATTAAATATATGTCGAGTACAAATTTTCCTTCACACTATTAAGGTGGCACCTATAGTGATTGCTCTAGTTTTCAATACTTATTTAATTATTATGGTTGGTTAAAGTACACTTTCTATGATCATGAACTAAGACAGCTAGGGCTTCTAACCCACATTTCTAGAGCTGCGAGGCAGGTAGGTCCCTACTTCACCTGGTGTATGTGCAGATGTTAGTATGAATTTTAATAGCTGCCATTGTCATTGAATGTATCATGTTTTTAAATCCATCATTTGAAAACCATATTTAAGTTATTTTTAAAAAGATTTACAGTGGAAGTTTTGAAAATAGTATTTAATATTTATATGAAGCTGGTTTACATATAGTTTTTTACTCTGATGTTTGTAAATTTTCAATTTTTGTTAATACTGGAAGTTTGATTTCTGTCATGAAATGATGATAGCAATATTTGATAATGTTATAGTACTATTAAATCATGTTTACCATCATTCTTGTGTGAAGAATTTGTATATCATTAAAATATGATACATGTGTTCTGTGAATTTTATATATAAAACTGATTTTAGAAATGTTATACTTTGAAATGGCCTATGATATCACTGTATTGTAGTTTTCAATCGGATGGTTACTAATACATTTTAGAAATATTATGTTGTTTCAAAGTGTTCAACATTTTTTACCCTGCCAAAGACATATATTTGTTTTATCTACTTTTGTTTCTATAGCATCCATCCATCACAATTTGACTGGAGAATAAGATTTAAACTATTTCTAATAGAATGCCAAAATTCTCTTATAGTTACATCTTACTGAGAAGAAATATAGTGCCTAAGAATCATACAACTTTAGAAAATTTTGAAGTTACTGCCATTTGAATTTGTTCATACTTAATTTATACTTAATTTAATTTTTCTCTGGAGTTCTTGCCCTTTGCATGTTTTCAAACTTTATTTTGTTTGGGGCAAAACAAAAAAAGTATCACTTGTATCAATTTGAAAATAAGCATATAGATTGATCTTATGGAGGAAAAAGTTCAATGAATGAAAGCAAGAACTCTATTTTGTAAATTTTGAGTTATTGCCCTTAGTATTTTCTCATCGATGATGCTAAATTTTAATTGAGTGTATAGTTTAAAGAAAGGATTCAATGAATTAAATTATTTCAGGATAAACATGCTTTCACTTCACTCCTAATATTGTAATTTTCATAGTAATATTTGTCAAATGAATGACAAATTAGCATTAAATGATGTCTTGAATAATGTCCTAATGTTTATATATTTAAGAAAGATGACCTTTTGCTTGAAACCGCTAAATTTTGTGTGATTTGTACAGGAATAAAGGTTTGAGTTCCTTCAAGTGATTTGTATCTTTAGGTAGGAATATAAATCAACTTATCTGTTAATTTTCATTTCATTCTGTTGATTTAAGAGCACAGTTTATCATCAAGTAATTACATGTATCAATGATTTTTATGCCCCCATTTTGAAAAAAAGGGGGTATATTGCTTTGCACTTGTCGGTCCGTCGGTCCGTCGGTCCGTCGGTCCGTAGACCAAATGGTTTCCGAGTGATAACTAAAGAACCCTTAGGCCTAGGAACTTCAAACTTGGTATGGTGATTGGTCATGACCAGTAGATGACCCCTATTGATTTTGGGGTCAAGGGGTCAAAGGTCAAGGTCACATTGACCTTGAAAGCAAAAACGGTTTCCGAGCAATAACTAAAGAACCTTAAGGCCTAGGAACTTCAAACTTGGTATGGTGATTGGTCATGACCAGTAGATGACCCCTATTGATTTTGGGGTCAAGGGGTCAAAGGTCAAGGTCACATTGACCTTGAAAGCAAAAACGGTTTCCGATCAATAACTAAAGAACCTTAAGGCCTAGGAACTTCAAACTTGGTATGGTGATTGGTCATGACCAGTAGATGACCCCTATTGATTTTGGGGTCAAGGGGTCAAAGGTCAAGGTCACATTGACCTTGAAAGCAAAAACGGTTTCCGATCAATAACTAAAGAACCTTAAGGCCTAGGAACTTCAAACTTGGTATGGTGATTGGTCATGACCAGTAGATGACCCCTATTGATTTTGGGGTCAAGGGGTCAAAGGTCAAGGTCACATTGACCTTGAAAGCAAAAACGGTTTCCGATCAATAACTAAAGAACCTTAAGGCCTAGGAACTTCAAACTTGGTATGGTGATTGGTCATGACCAGTAGATGACCCCTATTGATTTTGGGGTCAAGGGGTCAAAGGTCAAGGTCACATTG